ATAAACGAAGTGCTAAACGTTGGGGGCAGGTTGGGCAGAAGAGTTGAAGCTGTTATAGCTGCAAAGGGTGGACCGACGTCATATTGAACCCTATGGATTAGGAATAGGATGTCACTTACAGTAAGTTCATAAGTGAGTAAAGGCAGGTAAGCGAATACTTTTGGCAATATAGTGTAGATGCAGTAAATATGTGTGTGCAGTATACCTTTATGTGTATTATTTATATTTCTAAACCCAATTCCTTAAAGAAGATCTGAAATCAAAAAGAGAAAGATATTCCTTTGGAGGAAAAACACAAATGGATAATTTAAAGCAATTGTCTGGAGTGTGTTATGCCTTTGCCAATAAAGTAGGAAAACTTCAAAGGAAAACTTCAGAACGTCAAGATTGCTCTTTAAATATATCTGCTACAAATATTGTTTTAAGATGTGGGTTGACTTCATTCTCCTTACGAATTAAGCCTTCACTGGGCTCCAGTCCTATCTGCATAGGTAAGTAACATGGCTTGATTCAAGTTTGATGCTTGTAGCACATTCATTGATGGAAGCACTACTCCTAAAAGGCTTTTTTCTTTTACTTGCGCAGCCACAGCCCGGCAGCATTTGGCACATATACAAAAAGAGAAAGACAAAACAAACAAGAGTGCAAAGTTTCTGGGGTGACAACAGTGATGATCAGTGACAGACACATGCAGTTTCTCAATGGAGAGAAGCCTTGCTGGATCCTTATCTGCCTCCCCTTTTAAAAAATGGCTGATGAATCCTCCCCACCCCTTTCCAGTTTCCTTAAAGTTGGAGATATTGAGAAAGCCCCTAGCCCCAGAGACAACAGTGGAAGTCCAAACTGAAAATGTGGGACCTGCTAAAGTTTGTCCGGCAGTGCAGGGGAAACACCTCTCTCTCTCTTCTCCCCCATTTTTATGAGACTTAGATAGGAAAACATGGTTTGGGCCTAAGACCCTATTCCCTTTTCCCTCTCCAACTTCTGGATCTGGCAAAACTCTCCAGCCCAACTCTTGGTCAATAATAAATTAATACAAATAACTGTCACAAGACTATGTACATGGGTTCCCCCTCTCCAGCTCCATTACGACCTCACGCTCTTGCCAGCATCAGAAGTGAAAGGGAGGGGGGCATCCAAAAAGGTTTGTTGCCTGGATACCAGTCGCATTTCCGTATCTTCTCCAGTGCCACCACACGCACACAGACTTACACTCACACTTGCATACTTCAACAGTGACAAAGCCCAGCCCAGGTTGTCAAACCCCACCCTCCTCCCCTTCCTTCCTTGAGTCACGCATTTAAACAGAATGCCAGGCACTGGTATGGGCAAGGGGCCCAGGGCCAGAAGGCCCCATTTCCCTGAGCTGGCTAGTTCCCACCAGACTGGAGCGAACTGAGTCATAAGCTTCTACTAACAGTACACCATGGCACCTGCGCCCTGAAACAGTCCTTCAGGTCAGTGCATGCAAATACAGTCTGTACAGTCCTTCCTTTTGAGGCCCGCTCCAGAAGTGATGGGTAGGAAAACGTTGTCATTGGGGCTGTTCCACATGAGTAATTCTTTTAATGACCTCCCACTCCCACAAGTTCTGCATTTCACATTTCTGACTAGGTGTGGATTACAGCCAGATCTTGCTTCAGCCCTTTGCCTCAAGCACCTGCTCAAACTCCTTCCTCACCTCTTGTTGCATGATGGCTTAGACGCACTAGGAAGAATTCCACTTATGGTTAGCGGTTTGAGAGGTGTTGAAATACATCTGCGCATAGGCTGTAAATACCAGTGAAGAATGTTCTCAGATCCTGGTGGTAACCAAGATGCTAGTTCTAGCCACATGGCTTGGCCCAGGTGACCACAGGAGACAGCACTTGTATTCTGGGGGAAGTGCTGGTCTATACTCTCATGGCAGGACCCGAGCCGGTGGTCAGGGGCACAGTGGAGCCACAGTCATAGTCTATGTCAATAGTAGCATGAGCGTTGGCCAGGAGGCTGTTGAGAGAGGAACCTGTCTGCCGTTCTCGGAAGCTCTGTATGTAGCTCTGGGAAAAGAAAAAAATATTTTTAAATAATTAAAAAAAAAAATTCATACCCCAATTTCTTGCTGAAATGTTACGACATGGAAAAACCAGATTTGCTGTCTTGTTCTAAAATGCTTTGGGTAAGTCCAGCTTCATCTCCTGATGTGCTTGGGAGGAGGCATGCATAATCTTGAGCTATCACTAATTATTACAGTACTGCTATCATCTTAAATAGCTGCTAGAGGTCTCACTCATTTTACCATTTTAAACAAGTTGCAATATGCTGTATTTAGGTACTGTACTCCAGTAGCAGGAGGGATACAATGGCTTGTCATAAGAATGTTTTTTTTCATCAGCACAGATTATAAAAGTGTCAACAAACTTTGGCTGGCATAATTATGTATATTATTATTAGATGGAAAGCTCGCTACATGTATTTTAATTTGGGGGTAGGGGTTCCTTATGATAACATTATTGGTAAAAAGTAGACATTCCCATATGGTTAAAAATA